AGTGAAATAGTAAGAGAGCAAGCAATCAAGAAGGTGGGGGCGGGGAACAAAGAGGGAGGGAAAAATCTGGAGTTTTTTAAAAGTTCATAATTTGAGACACAAATGATTGATTATGTCAGTTTAGACATTTAACATTCAGATATTTAACTCAGATACAGTATGCAACTGTACACCAGGGCACAACTGGTCATGCTCAGCATTCCTTTTCTTTTCCCCTACAGGGGCAATGGCAGATCAGCAGGGATTTTTTTCCACAAATTGTGTACAAGTCTTTATCATGCAAGAGATGTGTTTTTTCCAGAAGAAATGCTCATTTTGTTGATTAGGGACAAATGCTTCTTTTTTGAACCATCAGTAGCGTCAGCTGCTCTGAACAGGATTCTGCATTAACTGCCAATTTAACTTATTTTAAATACTGTCTATATTTTCTGACTGCATATATTTATTATTTTATTATATTTGTAATGGGTTAAAATGATAATCACCAAGAAAGAAGCATTTAAAAATGTTTACATTTGTGTGGGTACACACATGCAGAAACACAGACACACAATACAAGTAACCAGCTCAAGTTAAAAACAAAAAACCAGTCAATCAGAAGTCCTCTACATTATTATGGTAATAAACCAGCACTATATATCTTATTTCTGCAGTCTCTGGATTAGGAAGTTGGACAATTACTTAAAAAGGAAAAATGGGGGCCTAAATGAATAATCTTGTTAGACCCATACCCACAACTTTCTTCAGTTTCCAGATGGCCTGACAAATCTCCTTGGCAGCTGCAATTTGAGCTTTTTCCCCAAGAAGGCCTCCTACTGTAGCTCGAAGGATAAATGAAACACAGCGGCGACAGCCGATAGCATCCATCTGACTCTGAATAGCCTTGGGGTGAGACTGAGACACGAGATCTAGAATATGGGAAAGGAAGGCAGAGAAGTTCCTTTCAAGCCATTGTGCTCCTAATGTAGACACAAATACCACATATGCCTGGAAGAGATTTGAAAAGAAGCCATATTTTAGAGCAAAATCATCTGGAAAACCACTGCCAGATATCCCACATAATTTTTTTTTTTAAAATCGCTGCACATTGCCACAACTAGAACATGACTAAACTGAGATTACTTAGACATTTATGCACCCATAAATCATGTACATTCTCATTTTCAGGTAGCTGCAACTTTTTTTGATCTATTTAATCACTGAACTTACTATCAAAACAGTACTATCAATTTTGCAGCCTGCTTTGACTGTAAATTAATTCAAGCTGCTTGCCCATGTTATTTCATTCCAGAGTGTGAGAAATGTCAGTTTACCCTGCACAGGCACTTGTTATGTAAAACACTGTGTTTGGTCTCACTAAACAACAGCTTCCAGCTATTTAACATTCTGCACATGGAACCCAAATTTAATGTATGAACGCATTTTAAGAACTACTATGTTACAAATATATAACCCATAACCCTGAGAGAATGTTCTTATTATAGGCTACAAATCAGGGCATATTTGCAGCTCCCAAGCACTGCTCTTCATCTCAAAGAATTTTAATTGTTTGCCTTGCAACGGAGGTACCATAAAAAGACTATGTCACAACAAAGAGAAAGAATGCAAAGTGACTTTACAAATCTAGTCACCACACAATCATTTATTTTGCCACATAATATGCTCCCTTACAAATGCCTTCCATGTGCATGTGTTGGGCTTTTAAAAATTAACAGATGTGCTACCATTAAAAAAAGGGAATACAAAAAATGAGAATATGGAAATGAACACACAAAATTCCTCATAAGAAAGTTCACAACTTCTATCCATATCAATGAACTTCTACAACTTTGCCTCATACATACTTTGTCTTGTGTAAATTAACAGCAAAATTATTCACGTAAAAGAAAGTGAAATATTGGATGGATAAATTGTACTATTAGATCCTATTCGCTTCTAATGGCTCTTAACAAATACAACTTTGGCTTCATTATGTAGCAGTACATTATTCCTGTTTCAGAGATTTAAAAAATGAGGAATTTAACAGAATAAATAGACTTGTGAAGAGTCATACTCTCATGGCTACATTTTGAACTACATCTTGAACCTGGCTGTGTCTTGAACAAATATAAATTCTTCTTCCATAGGTAAGAAGTCATCTTCAGTGGTTTTCTTATTTTTTGATTTATCATAAGCTGCAGTTGACATAATAATTAATACATTTATAACTGCAAGTATTTTCTTCTCACAGGCATGGATACATGCACGATTTGCCAAGTTTTCATTACAGAAACATCACACTATTTTAACTGTTCTGGTACAGTTAGAGTGTACCATCTAGCACAGGTGCTATTGTGTTAACACAGGAATGCATGAAAAAGAGGATGATCTCTAAAAAACAGTACAAATAGTCAAAACACTGAACTGAAATATTTACTCCTGGAAAACTAATAAAACCACCATGTATACAGAACACCCTAGGAGTCTGGCATGCATTTCCTAGGCAAATAGATGTGAAGGTATTATTGTTCCCAAGCTTTTCTGTCTCTCTGCCAGAAGTTAATGCTTCCACCCAGCATGATCTGACCATAGAAGACAATTTGTGAGCACCTTTTAGCTGTTTTCAGTGCAAAGTCTGGCCGTTTCTATCAGTAATTCAAGCTAAATTACAATTTTTTTTTCACTGAAGAAGTTGAAATGCACTAAAAGAATTCCCTTACTGGCAAAGGAGAGGTATCAAATAGATGTGGGGACAGTAACATATTAAAATAATGACAGCTCTTTGATATGTAAATGTTCATCATGACCTTTACTCTTGATTCACAGGTTTAACTTTTTAATATCTAGGTCTTAGCACATAAATGTTGTTTAAGATAACATTTACAGGAAGATGTCAGTCTTATATAGTAATTTATACTGGTTTTACCAGCATGTATTATACGGTCTGACTTCAGTCCTGCTCAGTTAACAAGATTCTATCCTCTACCCAAGCATCCTAGAACACAGCAAAACAGACATTTGGGGTTTCTCCACTAAATTTTATTTTCCTAATTTTTCATGCTGTTATGGAACAGCATGAAACAACTGAGCACCCAGACAACAACTAAGCACCAGACAGCCACTCACTAGTGGAATGGGGAAAGAGAATCAGAAGAGTAAGTGACAAAAAACCTCATGGGTTGAGATAAAAAGTTTAATAACTGAAATAAAATATCATTAATAACTATAATATAAGAATATACAAAACAAGTGATGCACAATGCTCGCTACCCACCAATCAATGCCGAGGCAGTTCCCAAGCAGTGGCTCCTCAGCCAGCTTTCCCCTAGTTTATATACTGAGCACGATGTCATATGGTATGGAATGTCCCCTTGCCCAGTTTGGGGCAGCTGTCCTGGCTGAGACCCCTCCCAGCTTCTTGTGCACCTTCTCAGCAAGTAGAGCGTGAGAAGCTGACAAGTCCCTGACTTAGTGCAAGCACTTCTTAGCGACAACTCAAATATCACTGTGTTATCAACATTAATCTCATCTGAAATCCAAACACAGCACTGTAACAGCTACTAGGAAGAAAATTAACTCTATGCCAGCTGAAATCAGGAAACACGCATTTAATCAAAGCAGAACCATTCTTTCAGAACAGGACTTGGGATGTCCTTATAATAGTAGGAAGCTATTCTAAGTTCAAATAATTTCTGTAATATCTCCTTTCATTTTTAGACACAAAATATTAAGTTTTCAATTAAATTTTTGAAGAAATTACTTATTTATATTACTTACTTCAAATTAAGATCATGTGAAACTTTTGAAAATTTCAAACTATCAGGTAAAAAATAAGCAACATCAGAAATATTTTTTATCTTCTTTCAAGCATAACTCAAGATGTAAGCCCTTATTTTAAATTACACACATTTCATCACAGATACAAAAAAGGATTAAATAGATATATCACAGGACTATTTAGCAATCTCAGAAAATCATAAATAACAATCCAAACCTGGGTGACTCCAACCCTAACATCTCTGCTGACTGAACTGGTCCCTTTCAACATATCGCCACTGGCTCGTAGAAATCCACAACTTCCGCGCAGAAATCCAGTTCCCAATAGCTCCATCACTTCTTCCAAAGAGATTCTGCGGAAGTTATGCCTTGTGGATGCTAAGAATAGATGTACATTTTTAGAGTAACAGCTCTGTAACATCATATTACATTATACAAGAAAAGTTTCAGCTCTAATCATTTTAGAAAAAATAACTTGCACAAATTCAGTAGCACAATCAAATCCAAATACCATTTGAGCATAATTTCACAGCAGAAACTAAGACATTTCAGAACTCAGTGCTCCAGCAAAACACAGTATTTCCCCAAATTTTTCTGCTTCAGCTATCTTTAAATAGTTTAGGTCATCATCTATTATGTATACATACATTTAGTCTTCTCTGGTATTTGCCACCTAATCTAAACTGTCTTTGCAAAAAGGTCTGTATGGCCTGCTCCCACCACCTGAAGCTTCATGAAAACCCTGACTAACTCATTCCAGCTTACTGCCAAGGACAACACTCTTTTCCAAACTCCAGACAGGGCAGATTACCTTTTTGCTATGCTTAGCCAGATAAGGGCACAGCTACAAGTTCTCTGAGAAACAAATGCATCTCAACTTAGCATTAAATTAGTTGTCCAAAAGAATGAGAATAACAGAATACATTTACAATCTTCTAAGAAAAATATTTATCCTTAACTCCTATTCTGATGTTTTATTTCTTGATAGAAAATTCATTTAAAATACATGCTGGGACATATAAGTGCAAACTTAGCATGATGACCGCACACTGTGCAAATCAAGTGACCTAAAATTTTCACTAATTTTTTCATTCCCTTCCAAGTACTGAATGGGAAAAGCAATGGGAGGATTTGAGATAATCATGTCAAAAAAACCCACAAACCTCAAAAACACCCAGTATCAGCAGATTATTGAATATAAGGACTATGCAATTCTTCATGCTCCCTTCACCTCTCCCTCAGCCCCTTCTAGGCCCACCTAGCTTCTGTCTTACTTAGCTCTAACTTCCTTTTAACTTAAAGTAACAAAAATAAATAAAAATAACCAACCAAACAGTTTATGAGCTTCTTACATAACCTTATATTAGCACTTCAGAAATACCACCATACTGCTTACAAAGACTAAAGAAAACTACTGAGTCTACAGAGAGCTCCGAGTATATTTTTTTTTTAAACACTTTTGGGAAAAGGTGTGTGTTGATTGCTTTCTGTAACACAATAATTTTCTCCAAAAGATTCTTAGAAAAATACTTCATAGATTCAAGACTGCAGAGTCTCCAATGCAAATACACAGCCTCAAGAATTTTGAAAGGCAATAAGTTGAGCTTAAAGGCATGTAATTTTGTCATTTCCTGCTTACTTCACTGAAGGTCTTCTCTGATGCCATTAAAAGCAGAACAAACTGAATCATGCTTACTCTGCATCCTGTTAAATTTCACTTAGACTACAGTCAGATATTTAGCTTTGGGCTCCTAAGATTGGACTAAAAATGCCCAGTCTAAATGACACCAAAGATTGGAGACAAAACCTTTGTGCTAGGATGCTTCAGTTGTATCAAGTATTACGTGTCACCAAAAACTGTTACATGGTCTGTTGAGTGAACGAAGCTTTGCTTCTGATCACATTTGTACTGCTAGACAATCTACATGTGGTATTGATGACAACAGAAAAACAGCTTGAAAAGATATCCTTAACTAATTTGTTTGACAATGAGACACTCCCTCAAATCTTAAGTGCTTTCTACACTGCTGAAATTAATCTTGCCTTTAAATTTTTGAGGCTACTAATTTCTCTCCATACAATAACAATCTTGTAACAGAGAAAAATAGTTTTACCAAATATTTTTCCATTTTTATTATTCTGTAAATAACACAACCAAAACCACGGCACTTCACAAGAACAATGTTGCAAAAAAGACCAAACCTGATATATGAACAGCCAGGCAAAGTTAAATCATGATTTTACTCTGGACTTCAACAAAGCTTGAGAGTTTCTGATCATCTGACAGAATTTTAGAAATGAGGTATCAGCAAACAAAGTACATACTTTACCTGTTGTCTGTTTAGACGTTAGAGCTCTAGCCAATACTGTGCCTAAAAGTTTTGAAACTGCTAGTCGTACATCATAATTGGAACCTTCAAAGGATTTAAAACACAAGGTCACAACACTATCCAGGTCTGAACTCCACATAAATACTGCTTCATTCTGAAGTTCAAGAAGACACTAGACAACAAAGGGAAATAAAAATATTTTGATATGGAAAAAAAACTCAGTACAAATTTTACTTTGCTACATAATACAGAGTTTTCCCTAACAAAATAAGCATGTTGCTTCATACTAAAATGACTTGGATTTTTGCTTCCAAGGCAGTTATCAAAGAAATAAAGATAAGCAAACAATGTATTTACTGCTGTGTTCACCATCCATCAAAACAGAATTTTATTTAGGGAGCTTTCTTAATAAAAACAGCTATCAGAGCACTTTACCTTTGCAGCAGCACAGCGGACTGCCATGGATCGATCTGTCAAACATGATCGGGCAGCTTTGTAAATATCTCTATGACAGGGGAAAGCAGCAGCTCCTAAACCATTTAATACATTTTGCAAACTAAGCATGATTTCATAACGACCTTGAGACTGAAAAATGAAACAGACAAATGTTAAAGCTTTGTAACCCTAAGCTCCTTGGAAACACAAAAAGCCACCTACTGAAATAGGCACAAACAATGGTTTGGGTCTTTTAGACTTTTAGAGATCTTTTTATATGGAAGTGAGTTAAAGCAGGTAACTTGCTCTGTAACACTACAAACAAGTGAAAACAGTAATTTTGTCTTCCACTGGAAAGTACTCACTAGCAGTTTAAAAATCAAAACATGAAGTACAAGCTGGAGCAAAACTTCTCATTATTAAGGCAATTATATTTTCTAGTTTATCAAGTTATTTCATGAAATCAGCTTGAAAATAGCTTTGATCTATCCTTTTACAGTCATAATCCATTAACTCCAGTAATTCTTTGGAATTTCGACATTGATTTTTACCCCATGGCTTTCCACAATTTTTTCATATTTTGGTATCATGCACTTTTTCCCCTATTCATTGGCCCAGCTACCAACAGTAAACATCCTATCATCTTTCCAATCATTTTTTAAACATGCTGTTCCAATACCTCTGCATTCTTCATTGCTTTAAGCACATTCCCAACGGTGTCAGTAAAACTGTTTCCCAAAATTCTTCCCAATTTTTTGTATAAATAGCCCAAGCATACCACTGCAGCACTAAAACAAAAGCAAATCCAAAGACGTGTGAATATGGATGCAGTAATAGATGAAAGGGATTAAGATGACTAATGTAATCAATGGGCAAACAATGAAATAACTAAATAAAATGTCCCCAAAAACGTAAGTGGATTATCAAAAGGGAAAAAAAAAAAAAAAAAGTCTGTGTATGGCACATACGCTCTAGGAGAAATGCAGATGCAAGGGATGGGAAAATAACTTGGCTAATACAAGAGTCCAGGTAATACAATCTTCCAATAAACGTTATGATAGGAATACAATTTTCATATCCACCGTTAAACCTTAACATTAATTTCTAACTAAGCATGTCCTGCATCATACAATCTATGACACTGTGCTATGGTAGATGCTGCTAGAAGTAGACAGGGACAGGTTTATTTACAACTCACTGGTCCACAGTAGACTGTAAATGGTCTAGTAATTAAAATTCTGCCATTTATGTATAACAATACATAATAAGGAAACACCTTGAAGGAAATAAAAGTATAAACCCATGTCCTTTTCATGGCACACAGATTCTGAATTTAGTTTCCAGGTGAAATACTTGACAACTGCAGTCTGTGTGCTCATTGGTATCTTCTTCAGCAAAAGCACCAGTTAGTAAATACCGAGATTAAAAAAAGAAGTTGCTTAATTAAAGAGTGGGTTTTTTTGAACAATTAATTAAGGAAAACACTTGGCTTCTGCACTGACAGATCTATAACTAAACCGATTTATTTGATGAATACAAGGAAAAAAGAAACTATATCAGCTTTCAGTTCTTTGGCCAGACCTACTTAAAAATGCTGTGACAATGCACCCCACCTCCTTCAAGAAAACCACATTTTACTTATTCCTCAACTGACTTCAATTTTCACATAACAAATTTTAAAGTCTCATTCTTAATTAGAAAAATGCATTTAATATTAACAATAATCCCTAAGTGACAAAGTGCAGTGAGAAAAACAAAAACTGATATACTTTATCTCATATCATACTAAAATCTTGGGTTTGATAAAGCAATGTTTTTCATTATTGCTTTTATCCAACTCAGTACACACCAACAGTCCGGATTTTAATTTTGTACATGTTGTGGCTGGGCATAAAACTACAATTGCACCACCTTACTACTAAATTGATCATCTGACGGTCACAGATACTCTCTTTAATTAGCTTCAAGACTAAATAGTATATATCTCACATTATAATCCAAAGAAGGAATATTTAACAAACACATATGGAAAAAACCCCCAAACCAGTACTACCTTATTACATCATGGTATAACCTGCAATTGCCACGGGCTTAAATGTTGTATGAAAGGGTCAATCAGTACTGAACAGTGATTTCTAGCATCAAAGCAGCAATATTTGTTGATGAGTAACATCTAGTCAACTAGATGAGAACCCAGCTATTTTTGCACATCAATATTTAAGTTTCTATAAAAGGTCAAATCATAGGACTTAGGAAGCTCTTCTGACTGCCTTCCAGAATTGTATCATGAGTATAGTTGGCTTTTTTCCCCCCAAATGTTTCTCCACTAAGTCTAAACTCTATTGAGTCCCTTCATCTGTCAGATCACAAGCCACAGCCAGAAGTTTCCAAGGAAGACTGTAAATTTATACAAGTTTTGCAGGGAAAAGCTCCTCTGGCTGTGTTTTTTTTTCCCTCCTGGCAGCACACCTCCATTTTTGATATACAATTCTCTTTATAAGACACATTTGTTTTCTCTCAAGTTTTGCCTTAACAATTGTACTTGGAGAGGTACCAACAAAAATGCAGATACTAAAACATATGGTAAAGTAAGCACTGAGATCAACTAAGTTTGCTGACAAGCCAAATGCTTTCAAGATCCTTATGGTTTAAAAACAGCCCTACTGGATATTTTAAAAACTTTAAATTACAAAATGAAGTAATAATATCTATTCACAGTATATGACCTGTTTAACTGATTGGATATAGCATTCACATTTCACTCAATTTTAGTAAGAGATAAGCACCTAACTAAGGTTCTTTTTAAAATTCTTGCCTGAAACATTTCTATCTTCCACATATATGAAGGAATAAAAATAGTGAGAACAATTCACTGGAAACTCTATTCAAAGGAATTTGCAGGTGAAACAACATATTGTGAACAATAATGGCAAAGTGTTGCTACCATACAACATGGACATGGTATGCTAAATAAGGACAGAGGGCAAACAAAGACAATTTAATCAAGATTTAAAAAAAACCCAGTCATTCTTTACTGAACACCACATATCCCATATACGTGCAGCCCATTTCACTCAAAGAGCTTTGTAGTTCCAATTCTTTTTCTGTAGGCTGTTGTCTCAGTAGGATAAGAAATCCCTTCTCCAAAGCATTTTTTGAAGTAAACCATGTTTTACTGCTACCTTTTTCTCCACTTCACGTCTTATTTCCTCTCCTTACTACTGCTTACATAGCCAGCAAGATTCTGAACACTGCCACCTCTCTCTTTCTCCCCAGTTACTTCTGTCTTCTGAGTCTGGATATTTGCCATTTCTGCCTTGCTGCCAATGGACTCCATCACCTGTCTTTGCTATCATCCCACTTCCTCCAGTGTGGCACCTTGCACCCTAAGCAAGGAAGACCTGCAGAGCTCTGTCCCATGCTACATCCCACCTATAATGCTAATACATCTCACTGTTGAGGAGCCAGTACTATAGCAGTAATTTGCTTTGGAGGAGGAAGACCCTTTAGACCAAACTTAATTTCAACTCAAAAGACCGCAAAAGAGTTCAACTGCCAAAAGAGGGAAACAAAATATACTATGATATGGGAAAATACAACTACCTGACTCATTGCAAAATCTGTTTTCACCTGTTGAAACACGATCAGCATGTGAAGCAAAGAAGGAAGACAGATCTGTTCTACTTTTTATATGGTATCATTAGTGCACAATGATGTTTTACTATCTCTGCCCTTACCTGTAATTTTCTTCACTATAGTGAAAGATGTGCACTGTTTCAGGAATTAAGTTTTTTCACTATAGTTCTGCACCTTAAGGTTTGGTTTCATATCCTGCAGTAGCAGATCACACTTCCGTTTTGCTGGCTAGGCTTTACTTGTTTAGCCACAAACATTTCAGATGTTTCTAACTAACTATATCCAGTTTCCCTGTGAGATTAAGAAATGTACTTAATAACTGTGTTTTGCACCTGGAGTTTGCTTCTCCGTTTTACTGATCTACTCAGCAGTACATTACCTTTTTCCTGTTTTTTAAACACCTGCCTGCTCATAACTCTGTTATCCATTGCTGGTATTGTGCTGGATCCAGCCAGGAAAG